TGTGCCCGGCCTCGCCGCAGTGGTAGCACAGTGGGCGGTGGTCAGGGGTGCGCCAAACGTCGGTTTTCCTCGGCGCACTGCGCTGGCCCGCTGGCGAACGGTAGTTCGTTGGTGGGGGTGGTGGCGGTGGTGGCGTCTGGCGACGGAAGTGCGATGGGGCGGCGTTTTGGCGTGCGCGTGGAGGAGGGACGTGGCGTCGTGCTGCAGCAGCATAGCTCATGACTTGCAGCTGCGGCTCTTGAGGCTGAGGAACGCCCAGCGACTGCTGGATCTCCTGGCGTACGACGTCCGTGATGGATTCCACGTGAGGCTGCGCTGAAGGAAGTAATTTTCGCAGCTCTCTTGCACGATCGCTCGGATAGTCTCACGCAAGTCAGTGGTTCCTAGCGCTTGAATGCCGGCGTAGCTTGTAGACGAGAAGCTATGGTTATATTGCCGCGTGCGCACCTCGAGCGTCTTCTCTATCGTAGCCTGATGCATGATGCTTCTGAAATGAATTCGGTGACCGTCTTTGGCGGGTTTCTGATCAGCCCGGCGAAGAGTTCCTGCTTTACTCCTCGCATAAGTAGACGGACCGTCTTCTCCTCGGACATGTCGGAGTCAGCGTGGCGGAAGAGTTTAATCATATCTTCCGTGAATAGCGCCACGTTTTCATTTGGCATCTGCCTGCGGGTTTCGAGGAGAGCTGCGGCCTTCTCCTTGCACACAACACTTGCGAAAGTGGTGAGGAACCTGGCACGAAAGGCGTCCCACATTGTGAGGCTTCGCTCTTGGTTCTCGAACCAGGTCCGAGCAGCATCTTCCAAGGCGAAATACACATGCCGTAGCTTGTCATCGTCTGTCCAGTCATTGAAGGCGGCGACGTGGTCGAACCTTTCGATCCAGCTTTCCGCGTCTTCCAGTGGCGAATCGCGAAAAGTTGGCGGCTCTTTGGGTTGCCGGAGCAGGAGTGGTGCAGGTAGAACCGGTGTTGACATGGTCGCCGTGGTCGACGTCAACGTCTTGGTTTTCTGAGCCTTGTCCAGTAGAAGCCCGTACTCCGGTGGCAGACCTTGTTGCCTGCGGCTAACTCGCTGCTCGTTGCTGGCGTCGGTGTCTTCACGACGTGGGCTGGGTTCACGGCTTGACGGAGGCGTTCGGTACATGGAAGAAACAGCACCTCCACCAGATGTCACGGGGTCGTGACGGGGCCGAAGACAGGGGACTGACTTCGTGTTCGGATTTAACTGTTTATTTGGGCGAACCTGTGCCCGGTAAACGGAAAGTCCAATTACAGCAGCAGTCTTGCACAGATAGCAGTTGGACTGACAGCGGCGAACGGAGCGTCGGCCTTCGATCAACAATTGACAAGCGGCGAAGCGCGTCGGCATTTATACTCTTGCCGTCGAATGTTCTAGCGTTATCGCTGGCGGTGGCGTAGGTTCCACAATAATCCGTACCGTTCGCAGAGTGGGCGTGATCTTATCGAAATGATCTACTACAGTCCGGAAGCTTCTCGAAAACTGCAGGCGCGGTTTGCGCTGAGAATCGTATAGTGTTTTGGGACGATAACAAAACTTGGGAAATGGAACGTGGCAATATAGTGCTAATGGCCGACAACAAGGAAGATTTGCAGAGATTGATGGACATCTGCGGTAATGAGGGAGATAGGTTAGATTTTAGATTCAGTCAGGAAAAATCAGCAGTCATGATTTTTAATGATAACGAAGGTAGTGAGCTTAGAATACAGGAAGTCACGCTAGAGATAACAGATAAATAAAAATATCTGGGCGTATGGATAAGCAATGTGACCGAGTAGCTAAGGGTACACGAAATATAAGTAACGACTAAAGGTAACAGGAATGCAGCAGTGATAAAAAATAGGGCACTGTGGAATTACAATAGGTAGGATGTTGTGAGTGGAATATGGAAAGGGGTCATGGTTCTTGGGCTGACTTTCTGCAATGCGGTTTTGTGCGTGAAATCAGAAGTTTAAGCAAGATTAGAAATTAAGCAACGTGGAATAGGTAGGCTTGCTTTAGGAGCTCACGGGAATACACCAAAAGAGGGAGTACAAGGTGATATGGGATGGACCTCATTTGAGGGCAGGAAAGCTAGCAGCAAGATAAAATTTGAGAAGCGATTGAGAGAAGTGGGGGAGGAGCGTTGGGCTAGGCAGGTATTCAGCTACTTGTACATGAAGAATGTCGATACAAAATAGAGGAAGCGAACCAGAAAATTGACTGGTATATACTTAGAAAACAGCACGGGGCCAAACCAAAAATAATTATGGGTTAAGAAGAAGGTGAAGGAAGCTGAGACCGATATGTAGAGAATTGGCATGATTAAGAAGTCCGAACTTGAGATCTATCGAACCTTTAAGCAGGAAGTTGCCAAGAAAAGGATCTAAAATAATAGTCGGGGTAGTTCTCTACTGTTTGAGGCCAGGACGGGACTATTGCTAACCAAGACATATCGATCCAAATACGAAAACACGGCCCGTGTACGAAAAGGTAGACACGGTATGCAGTGTATGTGGAGAGGAAGAGGAAATGGCCGAACACTTAATAATGTTCTGTAAAGGGCTTCACCCAATAGTTCAGGACGATGGCACAGAGTTCTTCAAAGCACTGGGGTTTAGGGACAGTGAGGGCATAATAGACTTTAAGCGGGTGTAATTAACAGGAAAGAGGTTATCTGATTGGTTGCTAAAGTCAAGGCACAAGTGAAAATAAACCATTTACTACAAAGTAACAATCCTATACTTCACTATTTAAAGGAAAAAAAACTAAGTATTATGGCTAGGTGACGTTGGCCACCGCCCGATCTAAAAGATACAGGCTACAGCACATCAATCCATCTATTCATCCATCCATGTGCAGTCTAGCCCAAGGAGGATATATAAAACTTGCTGCAGTGGAAGGGGCGCTGTGCGAGTGAAACCAGCCGCCGCCATCTTGCCAGTGGCAAAAAGCGTGCTCAGCGCCATCGCGAGCTGCTGATTTCGTCCGTTCTTGTTTCACCTTGTCGGCATGTAAAGACAAATGGTTTACAATGGTTGCCTCTTGCGTCGTTTACGGATGTGCCAACAGGTTGAAAAAAGGTTGTGGCCTCACATTCCACCTGTACGTACACGAAAACGTTTTCGACATAGCCATTCCGCGCTCGTTACTAAAGGGAGCTATAGCTGACGCGATCTAAGCGTGCAAAACATAACAGTCCGGATTTGTTTTACAGGTTTCCTAAAGATCCCGTCACGTGGAGCCTCTGGGAGTGGGCTGTTCGCCGTGAGAAGTAGAATACGAAAGACTGAAATCTGAGATCACTTCACTCTAGGCACTTCGCGCCAGAGTGCTTTGACCTCTTAGACATTGAAGGGAAACATGTGAAATGGGGTTATGAAGTGGCACTGAAGGCACTTCAACGCGAAGAAGGGTTGTGGCTCGGAAACAAACTCTCGAAAGTCCACGTCCAACGGGAAAAGCAAGAAAATGATGGTATGATATGCTGTACAACTGATCGAGTGCCTCAGTTGCCGACGCTTTGGACTTCTGCGAACAAAAGCTAAAGCTGCCGCAATTCAAAGGTGCCAGTACAAGATCTACGTTTATTAGAACTTTTGATCGCTTGTTTGACATCTTAAACTCCAGGAACCCGCTGGCAAGGTCGTACAAAGCGCCCCTTCGGCAGGGGAACGACGCATTCTGGAAGTCGTTGTTTGCGGAGACTCGAGCGTACATAAACGGGCTGAGAGATCCGGCAGTGACCGAAGGACTGAAAAAAAAAAAACGGATTCATTGGTCTTTGGATACGCGTGGCAAGTACGGAAAGAATGTTTGACAGACTTGTCAGCCAGGGTCAGCTGAAATACTTAATGACACACAAACTCAGTCAAGACTATGCCGAAAACTTCTTTGAATCATTACGTGGATGAGGCGGCCATAACAACAACCCAACAACTTTGCAGTTTATGGCTGCATACAAGCGTCTATTGGTTCAGACGGAAGTCACGTCTTGAAGTTCTGGATACTGCTCCCAAGATGTTCTCTCCGTATTGAATGCAACGACTCCTGCAGCCATGGTAGACCCAAGAAGCAATCTCACTGACATGCGCAAGGCCCCAGTCCTGCAGCCCGATGACCACGACAATACGCATCGCATTGACTAGCCCGAAAGCTTTTCTGCTTTTGTCGGTTCCGCGGTGCCATACATTCTTAGTATGTCCCACCCCTGTAACAGCCGAAAGGCTAACAGTATTTGGAAAATAAATAGAAGGCTTCATTGTTCGAAAGGTTGAACTGCAACTACCTGTGAAGAGTGCATAGCAGTCATGCACTCAGATGAGCTGACACCTTTAATTAAATGTAAGAGGCGAGGTGGTCTTGTTTCACCGTCGTGAGATGTCATTAGCCTCTGTAAAGAAGTCGAGGACTGAGGTGGCTACAGGCTGAATGTGATTCCATCACAACGGTGAAGTCAAGAGCAAAACACCTCATCCTGAAAGTTCTATGAGCTTCCTCCGAGAAAAACTGGTTCCATAAATTAGAGCAGCACGTCCTAGACTTTGATACGCTTGATAATCAGGTTTACAGTTTGTGCAGGCAAATCACCGAACAATAAGTAAAAGTGAGGATACAACACATGACGAAGAAAAAAAAAACGAGAATCGGTCAAAAGTAAGCTGGGACCACTTTTGACAAGGGCAATAATTTTCAACCACCTGTAGGGCACCTATGTTTTCGATGATGTGTTTGCTTTAGGCATCACTATTTGATGCATATGCACTTTAATGGATTTTTCTACATACCACTTGGCTGCGTACAAGTCGCAATAAACATTTACAACCAGAATTACTTGTTTTCGTTGCTTTATAAACACACGAGTCACTTCACCCGCAGCGCGATGAAGCTTAAATTTGCAGCGCTCGGCTCTTTTCTGCCACTAGCAACATGGCCGCCGCACGCTCGGCGCGGCTTCACTCTCTCCCGTAGCGGCGCATAGGCGGCTTCCACTCCAGCAAGTTTTATGTATCCTCCTTGGTCTAGCCAGGCCAGGTGTTCTGTGGCCAAACAGAATTTAGCTGGCGATGTCAGCATTGCTTGCGGTTTTGTATCTTGTGCATACGACGAGCGTCAACAGAAACCCGCGCAAGAACGTTTAGCCGTCTTTGAGACAATTGTTTGCCATGATTTCACAAAATGTTTATTCTATTCCGAATATGAACAAAGAGCCGGACAACTTTTTCACTTACACTGATGGAGTTCGGTTGCGGAAAACACCAGTTGTCATCGATAATGGTGAGCGTTTCTGATCGTGATTTGCTATTGCACTAAAATCCTTTTGACCGTTGAAGCACTCTCATCGTTGCTTACGATCAGCGCTTCCGACCGTGGCGCATTTGCTGAATACCTGGCTAACTGTTTGTTTCCAGGTTCTTACGAGTGCCGAGTTGGCTGGGCTTCTGATGAATCACCGCGAATGATATTTAAAAACATAACAGCCAAACAAAGGGGCAAAAAGGCAAGCAAGCATGTTTTTGTTTAAGGGCTGATGCGTAACGTCTAAGTAAACTGCTTATCTCGCTTGCAGGAGAGCGAGGTGCAAGTTGGCAACGACATAGCGAACGTCGAGGCTGTGCGATGGCTCCTGAAGACCCAGTTCGACCGAAACGTTGTTACACATTTTGACATACAGGTGCACTTTTTCTGTAGCGGTTTTTAATGAATTAGTTAAACTTCAATTGAACGCTGTCAGATGTTATACTGCCGTGTACTCCCGCTTGCATTTCTAGGAGCATATCTTTGACCACATCTTCAGCCACCTTGGTATCCCCACAGAAAATAGAGTTGACCACCCCATCGTATTGACAGAGGTCATTGGCAACCCTAGTTACTACCGCCAGAGTGAGTGCCGTCGTTATTTCCTGGTGATCAGAGGTAACATTTGCATAAACACTGCCTTACAGATATGTCTGAACTGCTCTTCGAACATTATCGTGTGCCCCAAGTACTCTACGGCATTGATGCATTGTTCAGCCTGCACCACAACTGCTCCAAGAAATCGGGTAACTATGCATTTGTAGCTGACCTTTATTTTGCATTGAACTGGGGACGTATTCAGAAACTATTGTAAAAGGATACAACCACTAAATTGTCGCCTTTGGTGGGCTCTGATTGGTTGTTGAGCTTAACCAGAAAAGTGATGGCGCCATCTAGTATTTTTGTCGGATATCACGGGGTTCTTGACATGCCTGGAATAAACAAACACACCTCATCACCATTGATTGGTGCTTCACGTCTACAATTTCAATGACATGGATGGTGCCTTCTAGTATTGAATCTTTAAGGATGTGCACAGCATTTTCAATGCTTGAGGTTTCAACGAGCATTACCTAGATGTGGTTTGAGTATGCTTTTGTAGTTTGAAAGTGCCAGCAGCGTTGGCCGTGAATTACTCGTTTGGATTATTGTGTGGCAGCACACCACAGCTGAATTCTTCAAGTGCTATGTGTTAGACACTAAACAAAGATACATTTGATGCAAGGCTGCATCCTTAAAATATTATACTTTGCTTCAAACAATTATACAAGAAGCATTGAAAGAATGTCAATGCTTCTTGTATTTCAAGTAGCCAAGCCCGTAACCACTTTATAGAAGCTGGTGATGCAAAGGTGCAAAGATCCAGTGGCCCTGCACAGGTACAGTGTGTTAATTCTTGTGCTCTGTGATGTTTGATATCTCCAATGGCCATTTTAATGATTACGATTCAGTTATTGAACACATAAGACCGTATGTCACACAGGCGAGAGTTTTGCCTTTCACGATACTTTCAGAGTACGGCCCGTATACTGATCATTATGTCAATGTCATTTCACTAGCTGGTACACTTTATGCGATCTTGCCCAATTGATCTCTTGGTAATCTCCATAAGCTGACCCACTATATTGTTTGAGAATTAGGGAGACGCATAGCAAATTTTAATGTAGAAAGAGCCCAGACGATTTTGTTTAAACAGTTGTACAGATAGCATATATTCTATGTGTACAATGTATACAACAAATACACATGTGTATGCAATATTGAAGGGAAGATGCATGTGTTTTTCATGCTTCCTGTGAACCGAAAATGGCTGTAAAAAAGCTATATATATATATATATATATATATATATATATATATATATATATATATATATATATATAACGTGGACGTTAGGCAGGTTTAGAGGAAGACGAGGAGGAGGAAGTTGTTAGAAATAAAGAAGAAAATAAAAAATAAATTTGTAATAGTACACAGTACTAGGCTGGGGGGTCAGCCATCTTCTTTATTTCTAACAACTTCCTCCTCCTCGTCTCCCTCCAAACCTGCCTAACGTCCACACACACGCATGCACGTGCGCACACACACACACACATGCACGTGCACACACACACACACACTATAAAGGAAAGAAGTGTATACCTACCTAAGGGCTCGTTTTTCCGTGTTTTGACACAATAATAATGAGATCTAACAGACAATAATGCCAAAGAATGTATAGGAGAAGTTATTAGAACCAATGTAATGTGAATAGGAAGAAAGAAAAGTGGGTGAAAAATTAACTTGCCGTGAGCAGGAAGTTATTTTAAAATAACTTGCCTGCTCACAGCAAGGTGTTTTTTCACCTACTTTTCTTTCTTCTTATTTACATTACATTGGTTCTAATAACTTCCCCTATACATTCCTTGGCATTATTGTCAGGTAGATATCATATATATATATATATATAATATATATATATATATATATATATATATATATATATATATATATATATATATATATATATATATATTATATATATATATATAACGAAGGCTGGTCCACCAGCTGAAAAGGTTAGTAAAGACGCTTCCACGAAAGTTTCGTCGTCTCTTTCTTGCATACAATACGTCTGGTCCAGCGTGAATGACGTTCAAAGAATCTGGCATATATATATATATATATATATATATATATATATATATATATATATATATATATATATATAATATGTATACACACACACACACACACAGAGAGAGAGAGAGGGAGTGTGTCCAGGACCTCCCTGTTATGCACCGAAGTGAAGGGCTGAAAGCAAAAGTAATTTAGCATGTTTTCAAGTTACAGGCAGGAAGCACATAAACTTGTTTTTTTCTCGCACAGTATTTTAATGTATGGTACACACACAGGGTCGGCAAATAAATTAGATCTCACTCATTCTCACTCATGAAACATACCTCTACGTTAGGGCTCACCCAGACTCACACTCACCAATGTTTTCCTCAACCGGACTCTCTTGAACTCAGACTCACTAAAATTTTACTCAGTCGTACTCTGACTCTCCAAAATATTACTCATTTGAACTCACTCATACTCATAGTCACAACTCTATCTGAATCTAAAGAAAAGAAGTGTACATTCAAGGGCTCGTTTTCTTTGTTAGACACAACATTAATAAGGTCTAACAGGCAATAATCCCGAGGAAAGTACAGGGGATGCTATCAGGAGTAATTTTAATGTAAAGAAAGAAAAGTGGTAGAAAATTACATATACATTCAATTATGCCTACTAATGTCCCCCCTATACTTTCCTTGGCATGATTGTCAGTTTGATGTGAATCTGAATGAGTGAACTCGTGAGTCTGTTAGCATACTATTAACTGTTTTGTTCAAGGCGTCAATGCTATGTCATCTTGCATGATCGTTGCTCTATTTGGCACTTTTGATCTCGGTATGTTTAAGTAGGAACTCTAAGTGGTTGCAACCCACTAAGGAACTTTTTATAGAAAATGATGTCTCACAAGATGTTTTCTTTACAAGGCCTTCATATGAAAGAAAATTGGAGGGATGATTTCCTCCCTTCATTACAAATGCATCTGTCCAATTAATGTTGAGCTCGCATACTAACGATACTGCATTGATGTATAGTAGACATAATTAGTATAAATGTGAGTTCACATGAAGGGCGGCAGTAATACTGAAGTTTAGTAGATAATAAGACAGGGCTGCAAAACAATGTAGAGCTCTGTCAGACTCACTCAAGAAATATACTTCGCCTTAGGGTTCATTTGGACTCGCACTCATCAAAGTTTTCCTCAACCAAACTCACTTGGAGTCGGACTCGCTGAAACTTTTCTCAATCGGACTCAGACTCTCCTAAATATTGTTCACCCGGACTCGCTCGGACTCGCGGCTCGATCAGAGTCTAAGTCGACTCATGAGTTTGCCGACATATGTACACGCACTTATCCACAGCCGTAATTTTTTTTCATGTTGATGTGATATTGGCCCTGCCAAACTTCCAGAAAAATTTGCAGTTTTTTTGCAGCTTTCTAGTCTCATCCGATTTTGTCATTTAGGGTTTTGCGGAGAGGAACTTGAGTTGTTTGAAGAGATTTGTGTTTAATAAGCCCTTAATTCAGTAATATCCACATTAATATTTAACTGGTAGCTGAAAAACTTTAGTTTCACCTGACAGGACGAAAGAACAATGTTAATTCAAAGCAATGATGCAAAGTGAGAATTCCTTCTAATAGGCGGGTCATGTAAACACGGACTCAAGAGAGGAGTCAAGATGCCACAAACACGCTTGTGCTGTCTTGCGGCATTGTGGTGTCCTGACTTCTGAGTTCTTTCTTGTGTCTGTGTTTGCACGAATGAATACTTACCAACTAGCTAAGTTCTCTCTTATTCTAAATTTTTTAAAATAAAATGTCGTTGCACAGAGTATCTTCATATAACCAGAGTCCTTCAATGCTTTTCTGGTCACGAAACTCCGCCCGAAGGTTGATATAGGGACAAAATCTGTCGCTAGAGGCGCCACCCGTCGTATGGGGGCCACAAGCCGCCGCCACTGCTGGGCTTGTATGCGCACTGCGGCCGACGTTTCGACGCGATTATGTGCGTGCTGTTCTTACTGTTACCTTTTTTTAAACGTCTCTGAACGCATCAATGCCACCAGATAAATAAGTTGAAACGGGATCCAGTGTCGACGACGAATGAGAGCTGTTTACTTTGGAATGCTCGCGTAGTTTACTTGGAAGTGCGGGCCCACCTTATAAACAGCAGCGCATTAAAAGTGTTCTCACACCGCGCGATAACGCATTGTGTCAATAATTGTCTCATAGCCCAATTATATGCATACTTACGATGCCTCGAAGCGGTACTTGCGAGCTATAGCTCGCAAGTGTTGAAAGACGATGCTTATGCTCCATGCTCTTGATGCGAGCAGCTACTGCTTGATCTGCTCGACAACATGTTTGTATTTGCGCCCGGCCAAAGGGCGATTATGTTTATGCGGTAGGTGAGCTTTATATTCTGGTAGGGCCGCTGATAGCGGGAGAAAGGTGAACGAAATGAAACACGACTGGGTAGTACAGGAGCAATCACATTGGTTTATATCCGGCTCGCCTCTCGCGCGCTACTACCCAAGTATTCAAATGAACTGAATGGTTGAGCCAGAAGTTTTATTCTAGACCTTTCAATTGAGTTTATACCCAAATGCGCAGTTGTTTTGGACACACGTTTGTGAGCGCCGATCGCTTTTTTGACGCGGGGACTTTCGATGCCGAGAGCTTTCGCGACCGCTCTAAACGTGCCCAACATTTGATTGATCACTTCTTTCTACGCAGTTTACACGGGACACCCGCCGCTTGACGTTTCCTTGTGTTTACTGTTTAGGGCATTATTATTTACCGGCCGACAACCCATGATTTCTCCGGGAACGGAAGTACAGCAGCCTAATTTGGAAGTTCCTTTTGATGCCAGTGCTAGCCGCTTGGCCAGTGCTAGCCATTCTTACTTTCGAAGCTGAAACCGCCAGCTTCCAACCGCGGTATAGCTCGCTTCCATTTCTCTCGGAGTTCGGCGCTACTTGGGAAACAGAAGAGCGACGCCTTTTCTTTGTTGCTTCGGTATCCGGAGCTGCAACCCGTCACACAGCACGTCTTAGGCATTGTTCATTCGAATTTTCATGCCGTCCACCTTGAGCACGGTGCACTGGCACATGAAGTTCGCGTTTCGCTGATGCAGAAACCGCGAGCTGCCACCACACAACGCCTTCGGGATGCCGCCGCGGCCAGTGCGTTCCGCCGGGCGCAGCGGGGCGATGGCCCCCCTAGGACGGCTTGCGCCGCGTAGCGGCCGCTCTTGGCACCATATCAAGCTCTCCCATAGAGTGACGGAGAAGTTTCGTGACCAGAACGGTATTAAGGGACTCTGATATAACTGTAAAATGTGCCACTTTATGTTATCCTACTATTAAAACTGCGCCACAAAGCATGGTGAAAGCTCAAAAAAAAAAAAAAAAAACACGAAACACGTGTAGGCGCTTATGTATCGTGGTCCCTTGTGCTTTCGTCTTGCATTGTGGCGCTGTTTCAGTATAGTATGAAGTCATACCAACTTTCCAAATTGTCGGTCCTAATGTTACGTGTGTCAAAGCTCTTGCAAGCTTTAGTAGTGGTAGATTGTCGTTATTTCCTAACAGTATGTTTGCACAGGGTTCTATGATGAAAGCATGAAACGGCGCCTTAAAGCAAGACAAAAAGCACAAAAAGGAACCACGAAACACAAGTGCCGGCGCTTGGGTTTCATGGTTCTTTCTCGTGCATTCGTCTCGCTTTGTGGCACCGTTTCAGTGTAGTATGAAGTCATACCAACTTTTCAAATTGTTGGTCCTTGTGTTTTGTGTGTCAGAGCTCTGGCAAGCTTTAGTAGTGGTAGATTGCTGATATTTCTTAACAGTATGTATGCACAGGGTTCCATGACGAAAGCGTGAGAAAAAACAACGAAACACAAGCGCCGGTGCTTGTGTTTCGTGGTTCCTTCTCGTGATTTCTTCTTGCTTTGTGGCGCCATTTCAGTATAGTATGAAGTCATACCAACTTGCCAAATTGTCGGTACTTATGTTATGTGGGTCAAAGCTCTGGCAAGCTTTAGTAGTAGTAGATTGCTGTTATTTGTTAACAGTATGTTTGCACAGGATTCTATGACGAAATAACGAGAAAAAACCGTCAAACACAAGCACCGGCGCTTGTGTTTCATGGTTTTTTCTCGTGATTTTATCTTGCTTTGTGGTGCCGTTTCAATATAGTATAAAGTCATACGAACTTGCCAAATTGTTGGTCCTTGTGTTATGTGTGTCAAAGCTCTGGCAAGCTTTAGTAGGGGTGAATTGCTGTTATTTCCTAACAGTATGTTTGCACAGCGTTCCATGACGAAAGCATGCTTTCGTCTTCCTTTGTGGTGCCGTTTCGGTAGTATGAAATCATACCAGCTTGCCCAATTGTCGCTCCTTATGTGTGTCAAAGCTCTGGAAAGCTTTAATAGTAGTAGATTTCTGTTATTTCCTTGTAACAGTATGTTCCGTGACGCTACTGGTGCTAATGTGACAGAGGGCCAAGATAATGTGATAATTATCTTTTTTTGTACCTTATTTGTGATCCAAGTAGTAACACTTGCATTTTAGAGGGTGTGGTTTGTTTCTTGTTCATGAACTTCAATGTGAACAGAAAAATAAAGCATGAGAATACTTTCAGAGTAGTTTTCGAGCAACAGGTTGGTCTATTTAAACAGCCTTAGTTTCACTCAGTTGTCGCACCACTTTCCTGTGGCAAGGTTGAGCAGTCTCATTGGGCATTTTTTTTCCCCTTTTTTCACCACGGCTGCATTTTCCTTTGTTTCTGGTCGAAATGTATAGCAAGTCATAATTTTGTTCTGAAGTAAGTCTTGCACATAGTTTCTTGAGAAGTGCACCATACGGTTGGATTTATTTCATCATATGAACAGTGGCCAATCTTTTTCTTCCGGTTCAGAGAATGCAATGGTGTTGTCTTTTGGACATCACACAACACACATCATCCCTGTGCTGAATGGACGAGTTGACGTTGAGAATGCCAAAAGAATAAGTCTTGGTGGAAACAACATAACAGTATACTTGCAGCGGCTCCTGCAGTTGAAGCACCCGCATCTGTCTGCCGCTGTGACATTGAGCAGAGCTGAGGTAGGTAGCATCCTTTTGCACTGTTAGTATTGTTTGAAGTTTTTGGCCATGGTCATTGCTTTCTTTACAGTGGTAGTTCATGCAGTTACTTATTATGTAACACGGAATGTAATATGCCTGTACAGTGTAATAACCTGACAAGCTGTTCGATGTTTCTTTACCAAAAGAAAAGAAATTTGCACCAAATTCACCAAAGCCCATTTTTCTGCGCAGTGTGTATTATTTTCTTTTGGTATGATGTAGCAACATTCTTTTAATGCAGTAGCATTTTTTTTCTACGAATTGCATAAAAAAATTGCTTGAAAAAGTCTTTGCTACATGGCTTCACTCTGATCTATCATCTGAATTTTCATCTTCAAAGCCCGCGGATGAGAACATCTTCAAGCAAAACTTAACAGAGCTATTTAATGATGAGATGTAAAAGTACTTACTCTGTTGTGCTCCTTCATTACCATGCTACAAAGAACCAGCCATGTTTCATGTGTGGATTCCTCTGGTGGCAAAATTAGAGAAAGGCAAAACACAATGGCACAATGAGGACAGGTTCACTGTGGGAGGCATTCTTATTCGTGACTGCTATATTTGCCAGCAAGGCAGAAAGGGTGAAGTGCTGTTTTGGGGTCTTATGATGTCATTATGATTAGCATTGTGAATTTTGAGACCAGAGTCTAAATTTTAAGAGGCATAAAACAATGGCTACCGAGTCAAGCTTGATAAATGAAAATAGTACTTGTACTGCAGTTTAGAGGACAGTAGGAATGTACTTGCTGCTTCTTTGTTCCTGTCCGACTGAGCTTACAAGATGGTTTCTTGCCACTATAAAGGTCTGTTATTACAGTCGACTCCTTTTAAACGGAACTCAAAGGTGATCCATAAAACTGTTCCATTTATCATAAGTTTCATTTAAGCAAGTACATCTATTTAGTGAACCAACACCTTTATTCAAATTGCACAAACTTCACCTTACTCATGAGGATGAGTAGGAGGAAAAAAAAAAGGAGTGAAGAGTGGTTTGTTTGGCAAGCTTGAGTTGTAAGGTACGCACCCATGCCTGACAAATTAGCTAGAAATTCTGGACAAGCCTCATGCTCAAAATAGCGCTGCAAAAGTTCAACAGCCTTTTTAGCTGATCGGTCTGGTGGCACCATTGCACTGGCAGTATTGTCATCACATTCATCGCTGGCAGGTTGATCCTCATCTCGCACTTTGGCAATCATTTCCTCAACAGTCACTTCACGACAAGTGTGAACATTTTCATCTATTGATTCGTAGTCCTGCAGCGTGAAAGAGGCAGAGGGCACGACCTGACTGAATACTGTCTCAATGTCGGCATCAGCAGGGCTTTCTTCTTCATCAGGTACTGCTTTCTGGCGCTTGAAAGCCAGCATGGTGAAAGCATCTGCATATTGTTTTGCCTTCACTTGCTCCCAGGCACTAGCCAAAATGTGGATGGCTGCCAATAAATCTATGCTATAGCATTTCCCGCTGCCTGCTCTAAGCAGCATTTGGTGGAGCAATCGTCTGTGGTAATGAACTTTAATGTTCTGAATAACCCCTTGATCCATTGGCTGGATCACTGCCATTACATTGGCTGGCAAGAACTCCAGAGTTCTGGCTTGGAGGCCTTGAACCTGACCGTGGGCTGGGCAATTATCCACGATGAAGACAACCTTCCTGCCTTGCCTCATAAATCTTGCGTCTTCCTCCCGTAGCCAGTTTTCGAAAATGGCCATGGTCACCCACCCTCTTCCGTTCGCATGGTACGCAACGGGAAGGTGTTCAATGTCTTTGAAACAACGTGGGTGCCTTGATTTTCTTATTACCAACAGCTTCAATTTCTCATCCCCTGCCATGTTTGCACGCACCAGCACAGTGATGCGATCTTTACTGTGTTTTCCTCCACTACAGGCTTCGCCTTTGAAGGTGAGAGTCTGATGGAAACGCCTTATAAAAAATACCCATCTCGTCGACGGTGAAGATGTCTCGTGGCTCAAAGCTCATCAAAATTTACTTAGGCCGCCCCTGTTGCCAGTCGGTGCAAATGTCCCTGTTGGCTGCACCACTCTCACCTGAGATTGCTTTGAAGACTAGGCCATGGCGTGTTTTGAAGCAGCTGAGCCATCTGTCGCTTAGAACAAAGTCCTTAACACCCATTTGCATGGCGATCTTTCGAGCTTTCTGCTCGAGAATAGGTTTGCTTATGGGCAAGTTGGAACTTCGTGCACGCTTGAACCACAGAAAAAAAAACTTTTTCTAGTTGTTCATAAGGCATCGTCCGCATCTGTTTAGATGTAAAGGTCCCGTTATTAACAGTGCCTTCAATCTTTTCTCTGTCTTTCCAGATCGGCGACAGCGTCGATTTCGAAATGTATTTTTTCGCCATCTCCGTCTTGGGCAGGCCGCTTCGATCGAGCTCCTGAAGAATTTGAAGTTTTTTTTCAAGTGAGAGCGCATGGTGCGGCCGCTTCCTTTCCATAGGGCCGAAATAACACCGTGATTCTTTGCACTTAGCCGCACAAATAGGCCTAATGCACAATTGACTCGCCGACTCGGCTCCCACAAGCGAGAATGGCTATTGGATTGGCTTGTCTCAATATCGAGGTGTTGCCATGGTTGTGAGACTACCTTTGGCATGAGCAAGTCTATGATGTGTTTAGAGTTGGTGCCGTTTAGCCGTAGGTCACGAATAAGCTCTGTTTCGCTTAACCGATGAATTTTCCTGCGGAACCCATAGAAATCGAGCCATATGAGCCCGTTTAGTTCCGTTAATGAGGCATTTTCATTGAAGCGAGTTCACTGTATTTCACGAATAAGCTGGTGCCGATGACGCTTGACAACTGCACATGACTGAAAATCAGGGGCACACCCACAATTTCGGCATTGAATGCCTAGGTGGCCAGACACCGTCGAGGAAACGCTGTAAGTGGGTTCCTTGAGACGCTCATTCAAACATCGCCAAGTTTGCCCTATGTATTGTTTATCACAGGACAATGGTATGGAATACACCACACCATGTACGCATGGAACGAACTTATTCCAATGCTTATTTGGGCAGGTGGTGGTCTCCCTAGCTACTAAGTTGATAGCTCTACTCATGCTAGCCAGCTTCTCAGGGGCAGAAAAAAACAACCTCAACGTCACATCTGCCGGTTATCCTCTTTAGGTTGTGTGGTTCTTATTTTGCAGCCTACTTTCATTGGTCTGAGCAGGTAAACCTGGACTCATTTCTTGTTCTTTTAACGAAAATTAAGCCACAGCAGTCATCACGTGACATGGGTATCCAGCAATGGTGAGGCATTCTACCTGCTTATCAAAACTGGCCTGGATCTTGTGGTAGCATGACTTTTCTAAAACGTGCGCATAGCAAGCCTTCGCTGTTGCCCTTTTTACAACTTTAGATGGCCCACTCTAAAGGGACTATGAAACACCTGTTTCTCCTTCTTCCTAAGTGACCACAGAAGGGGCCGGATCAGGGGCTCTTTCTGCAGGAGTCGCCCCTTTCACTACAAGTAATGGCCTGCACCCAAACTCACGAATAGTATCCCTCCGTGACCTTCAAGGCGCGTCGCTTAAGCCGCCCTATTTCCCTCTTATTTCTTTCTCTCTCCTTTTTTCCTATCAAAATTTTCTTTTTACTCTTTGGAATTTTTGTTTGGTTTACTTGCATTTTGCTGTGTCATTTATGTATGTTTTGCCCAAATATACATGTGCCCAACTCTAAACGGGGCCTATCTCACCCTTCTCTCTTTTGCTTGCTCCAGCGAATGAGATGAAAAGAACTGTTTGGCACAGCATATGTCACAACTGCAATCTGAACTTGGCTACCTTTAACGCTAGAACACTATCTAGTGTGGCCAGTCTAGTTGGGCTAGTCGAGGAACTAGAGGCTGTGTAATGGGATGTAGTAGGGCTCAGCAAAGTTAAGAGGACATTTGAGGCTTATACAATGCTGAAGAACCGACACGTCCTATGCGACCATAGATTAGTTGACAGAAAAGACCTAGGGGTGGGGTTTCTCATATACAAGAATATCACTGGCAACATTGAGGAATACTAATAGCGTCAGTGAAAGGTTGGGAAGTATCGTAATGAAGTTTAAGAAAAGGTACAAGATGAAGGTGGTACAGGCCTACACACCTACATCGAACCATGATGATCATTTGTTTGAAGGCTTCTACGAAGACGTAGAGTCAGCCAATAATAAAAACACAGTATACTATTTTGATAGGCGACTTTATAATGCCAAAGTAGGCAAGAAATCAGCTGGAGACTAATAGGGGAATGTTGCGTCAGCTCTAGAAATGCCAAAGGGAAGTCATTGGTAGAGTTGGCAGAACGTAATAATTTACAGATCTTCAATACCTTCCCCAGAAAACGAGCTAACCATAAGTGGACGTGGCGAAGTCCCAATGGCGAAACTAAAAATGAAATAGACTTCATTCTGTATGCCTTCAGGGCATTGTACAGGATGTAGTAGTAGTTGGCAAGATCCGATGCAGTGACCATAGAATGATAGGAGCTTGTAGTCACTTAGATTTACAAAAGCAAAGGCACAACTGATACGCAAGAAGCCAGTTAATGATCCAGCAGGGAGAGGGAAAGTACAGGAATTCAAAGTTTCGCTTCAGAATAGATTTGAGGCTCTAAACGAGGTAACCGACATTAGCGTGGACACAATGAATGATAATGTTACTAATATCATTAAAGAGTGTGCTATGGAAGTCGGAGGTACATTCACTAAACAGGACACAGGCAAACTACCTCAGGAGACGAAAAATCTCATTAAGAGGACAAAACATGAAAGCCTCAAATGCAACTGACAATATAAAGCTAGTGGAGCTTTCGAAGTTAATCGATAAGTGCAAGGTAGCCGACATCGGAAGGTATAACATGGAGAGAATTCAGTAGGCTGTAAAAAGTGGCAGGAGCCTGAAAGTTGTGAAGGCAAACTTGTGCATAGGCAAAAATTGGATGTATGCATTAAGGGACAAAGAAGGCAC